GCCAGCCTCTGTTCGCGGGGCACCTGGGAGGCAGGAGCTCTGCACCCTGCTGCGGGTGGAGGGCTGGGCACACACTGCCGGCTGCACCACACGTCACCCGCTCCTTGCTGTTCCCCTGCATCGCTCCAAGCCGGGGCACAGCAGTGCCAGCTGGCCCGGCCACCTGCGTGACACGGGCAGGACACCTCCCTGGCCGAGCAGACGTCTCCTGGGAAGCCCGCCGGGCAGTCGCAGCTCTAAACACCAGATTTCCAACCAGTTTGTTGAGCTGCTCTTGGCACGGTGTGGAAGACTTGCCATCAGGCACCCTCGGCACCCCTGAGAGCGCTGCTGGATCACAGAGGACGCTGAAGCCTTCACCCAGCCAAGCCTGTGGCACAGGCCTGGAGCGTGGCTGCTGTCCCGTGCGGTGGTGCCAGCCTGGAGCTGCACAAGAGGCCAGGACCTGGGAGACGACCCTGCTGCCCCGACGGGGCGTGTGGCTGCGCGGTTTTGCCGGTAGCCGCAGACCTGTCCTCCCTCAGAGGGAAGCCACCACTTCCTGTCACCTAAAGCTGTCCTGGTTGTGGCTGGGGACCAAGCAGCCTCAGAGGAAGTGGTTGCCTACTCAGCAGCCTGTAGAAGGCAAGTATTACTTCCACCTGCAAGCCCAGGAGAAGCAAGCAAAACCGCTGATGTGCAGTAAGTGGAAGGGTCTCTGTACCACACGTGCCAGCTGACTTGGCCCTCCTGCTGACACTGAGCCACCTGATCCCAGCCTCACATATGGGAATTGTTTCTCCTTCCCCGGGGGGGGAAGTGAGCACTGCGTTGTTGATCCAGGGATTGCCGCTCTTATCTGAGGAGCACTTGCCACATCAGCTGCCACACAGCCTCCCCACGCCTGCCTGCCTGTAGTGCCCCAGGGACCAGAACTGCAACACAAGATGCCCAGGAAACTGCTGGCTGCTCGTGCTGTGCTTGCCCAGACTCTGCCTGAAGCTACTTTGCTCCCTCAACAAGGGAGCTTGGCCCTGCTCTTCTCGCAGCCACAGGCTGGGCTGCCAGTGGGCAAGGCAGCCTGGACAGTGAACAGCATCTGACTGGGAAATGGAGTGGCAGAAGCCACCTGCATGGGTAGGGCAATGAGACCATGGAGGTGGCCTTCCCCACCTTTCCCCCCTCCAGCTGCATCATAGGGCCAGTGGGCCAGAGCCAGATTTGAGCAGCAGCAACAGGCAAGGCACACAGCCCATCTCCAGTTACAGTAGGAGGAAACTCCTTAGGAAATGGGTCAGAAGCACCCAGGAGTCCCTCCACACCAAGCCAGTTAAACATATCCCTGCAAAAATACACCAGTTCCTGCAGCCAACCAGCATGACGTGCAGTCGCATTGAAATTCTCAAAACCCAAGATCAGGTACCTATGTGCAGTACAAAGGAGCCAACTTTTTTGCACAGGATAAAAATTAGGCTAGAGCAGACCCCATCTTACAGAAAACCACCTTACCTGCAGAGAAGTATGGCCAGTTTGTAGTAGCAATAAGCAGCTTGGGCAGTAAAGCAGGGGCCGTGTCTGGCTGAGCATGTGGCCATAACCTGGGTAGACATTAGAGCTTTTTTAGTTCACTTTGCAGCCTGGCATGTCCTAAAGAGGGAGATACCAAGGCTTTCCCCAAGCCAACCTGGGCAGCCCCCATGCCCACCATCAGTAATTTGCAGCTGCAATGGTTTGAGCAGGTTTTATTTACTGTTGGCACCACCAGCTTCCCCCAAGAGAGCATGATGGTATTAATGGATGTGAAACACACTGATCAATGCACAACACAACACACAGTCGTGCCACTGCTGCTGCTGTCAGGACCTGTCCCTCTCAGCTTGCAGCAGGTCTGAAAATTAGCACCCACAACTGATAGACAAGGACTGCCAGCACCCTGGTCCTGTCTGAAGGATGGTGACTGACAGTCAGGGAAGCATCCAGCAGTCCAAAGAGAACCAACCCAGCACGAATCGTACAGAATCTACATCTTGCTTGTGGTGAGCCCTTTCCCACTTTGGACCCTCCTTTCCCTGTAGCAGCATTTCAGTGGCTCCATTTGGGACAGGTAGCCATCCTCGTAGGAAGAAGCCCAGATCCCAGACAGAGCTCCACACCTTGTACACAGTCATTTGCCTTCTAGACACCATCATCTCGTGACTTTGCCAAACACAAGCCCCACTAGCACGCCTGGCACAGCTCTGCAACCCCAGCTCAGAGCAAAGAGAAGTCCAGGTCAGGCACAAGCCCACACAGCTACCACCTTACACGAGCCCCCACTGCGTGCTTGCTGCAGAGGCTCTCCTTGGTGGCAGCTCCAGCCTTAGCTGGCTCCTGCAGGGGCGGGGGGAGTGCAGACCAGGCAGGTTTTCCCTGGCAGAGGGCAAGCCCACCCCGCAGTCTGTCCGTCGTTTTGCAGGTGGAGGGTTGGTCAGAAGTGCCACCACGCCGGGTCCGGCTGCAGCAGTCAGCAGTTACAGGAGGAGTCACTCTGCCCGGCAGATGAACCAGATCTCATTGCGGCGCTGAGGGACGCTGGGATTTTCGTAAACAGCCACAATGTAGGTTTCCTGGAACACCATGTCTGTGGACCCCAAGAGCTCCCAGAAGAGACTGATCTCTCGCAGAATCGTCTCCTCAGTGGTCATCCCGTAGAAAACCCTGCAGCAAAGGGAACAATGTAAGGAACAGAGCCAGTACATTCCCCCTTCCCACAGCCAGTGCTCCCATCCCCTTGCCCAAGGAACCACAGCAGCTATGCAGGGAGTTTATACACCTCTGCTGAGCTGAGAAAACTTCTCTCACGCTGGGGTCACCTGGTTATAACCCGGAGTGGAGCCCTCTCAATGATGTGGATTTCAGGGTCTGTGGGAACAGGGGGGTTTTGCTGGAACTCTCCTGGGAGATAATAGGCAGTTACGACCTCACGCTCCAGCTCAGTCCCCTCCTTGATCAGGTGGATTTCATTGAGCACTGGGACTGTCATACCCAAATAACAACCTGGAAGGAGGCAGGAAAGCAGTGGGCACAATGAGACTGCTGGGTCCATGGTGGTAGCCCTCCTCCCCACTCCAGATGAACTGTGGCAGAGCCTTCCCTCTGAGCAGCCTGCAGCCCCCTCCAGCCCCTGCCTGCACACACCTACAGAGTTCTCCTTGCAGATGTAGCGCATGAGCTTCATGAAGCTCATGGAGATGCTCTGCTCATACATGGGCTCCCCCTTGGTGACACAGGCCCACTTCCCAGCTGGGTACCACCGCTCCTCGTAGGCTGCTTCCTCGCACTGAAACAGGCCACAGACAAGTCAGGTGAGAGTTAAGCACACTGACAACACTGCAGCACTTGAGTGGCAAAACCAACACGGACAGGCAGGAAATGGGGAGACAGGACCCTGCCAAAATGAGATTCTGTGATTGGCAGGAGAGGCTGGAGAAGGCAGGAGTAACTGATGTCACACGCACCTCAGACAAGGACACTTAACAGCACTGGGCAAGAGTCAGCAAAAGGGAAGGCACAGACAGGGGACAGGCTGCAGGGAGGCTTGGAGGCTCCTGGCATGCACAAAAAATGCAGCACATCCTTAGCAGATGGCACAGGACTTTCTGCTCCTCTCCAGTCACTGTCCTGCCTGTTCACAAGGATGTTTGTGTTTCCAGGCACCCAAAGGCTGACATGATTCTCAGGTGCACAGCATTTTCCCTGAAGCACTGCGTGCATGGAGGACAGCAAGCAAAAAGCCTCCTGCCCAAGTAGAAGGCAAAGTCTGGCAGAAGAGCTCTAGCATTCAGAAGAGCTGTCAAGGTTGGAACAAAACTCTTCTCAGACCCTTCTCCTATACCAAGGATTGACAGCAGGAAGATGAGACAGGAACGCAGCTGGTGCAGAGGGGACAGCTTTGTGGGATGGATCAGACTCACTGTTTCCAGCACAGATTCCCAGTCTTCTGCACAAAGCCAACGGAGAAGAGGGGTGGGAAAACTGCATCTGGATCTGCTCATAGTTCAGCTCATGGTATATTTATAAGCACAGGTACCTCATAAAGAGGGGCTGGGAAGTCGTAGCCAGCACCTATCTTCCTGCTCTCAGCTTGTTCTTCAACCAGATTAAAGCAGTCATGAGACAACCTTGTTCCACGGAGCTCAGGGAACCTGTCCAAACTTCTGTGCTCAACAGCTGTGCTGGCAGTGAGCAGGCCTGGAAGTTATGACTGGCCTCAACACTGAGTGAAGATTCCCTGTGCCTCCACTCAAATCAGGTCACTACTCACAAAGCTGAACTGAAGGCAGAAGGAACACATCTAGGCTGCTTGTGTACCCACTCCTGTGGGTACCAGGATAAGAGTCCTCCAAAACACTGCAGGCCAGCCAACATTTGCGTTCTAGATGGGGCCATACCTGCTATTGTCCCACCAAGCAAAGCAAAGGAAGAGCATTTTCCAAATAAGGAAGCCACCAGTCTCTCTAGACTATTGGCAACTCTCATCTGCCACTAAGACTGCCACCCCAGCAAGGCACAGCCTGATCCTTTTATTAACTACTACCACTCTAGAAGATGAGGCTTGACTATGAGAAAGAATAAAGTTACTCCACACAGACCCAGTGGCAACAGGTCCCTGCAACACAAGCTGGGAAATCTGCCTGCGAACTGACAGAGCAAGGCTTTAAGGTGGCATAATAATCCACTTGCCTCCAGGAGGATGAAGGCTTGTAGTACTAACAGCTCAGGAGGAGCAACCAAATACTACTGATGTGCCTAAGCCTGGAAAACATGTCCTTAAGGGCCCCAGCTCCAGAGTCCACTCAGAATTACTGCCAGAAAGGGGCTCCTATCTCCTCACCCAGCCCCGGAGTCAAACTCCAAGAATCCTCCTCAGGCACAGAGGGGATGCCAATAGCAATAAAAGATCTTCAAGCTCCACACAGTCCCTGAGCCCCATTCCTGCCTGGGACTGGCATAGGTAAAGAAGAACCCAGACTACCTCCCTAGGCCCAGAAGAACAGGGGAAGAGGGAGTGAAGTTCCAGTTCAGAGCTGCACAACCCACGTGCTCAGACATGTTTTACAGGCAGGAGTGCTGTACCTCAGCCCAAAAGAAATTGGTTAAGCTCTCCTCATATAAAGGACAATTGACAGATGTCTTGGTAACAAGCTCAACCAAGCCTGCAGGGACACAAGAACCAGTCTGACAAGTACTTCTTCACAGTAGTTTCTCAAAGCTCAGAAGAACTCTTTTGTGAAAGAGAGGAGATGTGCAGCTTAGCCAGCAAACCCAGGAGATCTTCAGGCAGAAGGTACCACTTTGAGACCGGCAGTCACGACAAAACAACAAATGCTCACGTCTGGCAGCCAGGGCTGCAGGGCCCGTGTTCCCCACAGAAGCATCCTCATCTGGCACCAGCCGAGATCTCCAGCTCCACCCGCAGCTGCCTAACCAGCACAAACACAAACGCAGCAGGACTCCAAGCTACGCAACAGGGCATTCCGGAGCAGGCTCGGGGCTGAAAATTCACCCTCTGGGATGCGCGCACCCCGGCAGAGGACAGGCTGGCAAAGGAGGCAGCTGGAAGCCGAGGAAGAGGCTCCTGCTGCTTCCCAGGCTGGCAGCCTGGCCTCACCACGGGTGGGGAGCAGACGGAAACCCGGGCGGGCAGAGAGGGACGGGCCTCACCTCCTGGTGCTGCGAGAGGGTCACGTAGGGCACGGGCTCCCGGGCCTGGCTGTGCCGGGTCATCTGGAGGATCGGGCCTGCCATCTCTGCAAGGCAACGGGCAGGAGAGGCGAGGCTCGCCCGGGCGGGA